AGATTTCGCGGCTGTTGCTTCGATATGAACAATTTGTTAATGTTGCTGAAAGACATGGAGGTCGTCAACGTGCAATTTCTCCTCGATATAATTTTTATATGGTAGGATTGGCTCGTTGAAATGTGTATATACCTAACCGCACGTGAACTCTGTGGGGACTTAGAAATTGCCTACAACATTACTGTTTGTGACCAAATTTTAAGGAATATATTACATGAGGCTTACCTCGAGGGTTCCTGTTACGTCATGGAAATCGTGGACTTAGATTAAGGTGGGCACAATAACATGTGCATTGGGGCTGTCAAGAATGGAGCTCTGTGTTAATCAGAGATGAAGCTAGGTTTTGTCACTACTTTGATTCAAAAAGACTAAGAGTTTTAAAAAGACCTGGTCGATAAGAGAGGCTCAGGCATGTACAGGGTGTTTGTCCATATAGTGAGTGTCCTACGATGTGGGCTGGAATAATTTTTCATCACACAATTTTTCCCGTTTTTTTTTTGAATGCGCTTTGAATTAATCTCAATATGTTGATCGTATCTTAGAACTTGTTGTCCTTTCTTTTGCCAATGCTGCAGTTTGCAGTTATTAGGTTGCGTTGCATACAGGATAATGCATGGAGACATACGGCAGCAACAATAAGAGATTGGTTTTCATAACGAGAATATTACCTTTTTCGCATGTCCAGCAGAAGCGCCTGATCTTAATTCTATCGAGCATGTATGGGAGAGACGGATTGCTCCTCATACGCATAATGTTTATACTAGAAAAGGTATTCAAGATCTTCTTGCACGGGAATGCAAGCTGTAAACACAGATTATTAAATACCTTTTTTGTTGGATTTTTATATTTTATATTGACTTTTGTTTTAAAAGGCTTCATTAAATAAATGTATTTCTTAACTTTTGTTAATGTTTTGTTATGATTATTTCATCATAGAGAAATCATATTACACTGAAATTAAGATGAATTAATTGCTGAATAAGCATTATTTACGGCGACGCAGACGTTTCATGGTCAGACGGCATTTCTGAAATAGTTTAAGATTGCCCTCTCCTTACTACGCCAAACAAGTGTACCTTCGGACGGAAGTGATTAGTCATGTTTTATTCTTATATTGTGCATTTGCGCGGTGTCACTCAGTATTTGCAGTTATTCGCCACTGGTTATTTGAAAAAAGTTCCTAATTTTGTTGTTCAGCAATGAATAGCTGGTTTAGGACTAGATCCTTGAGAAAAATAGTTAATACTACTGATCAGTAGAGGCAGTGGCTTCAACATCGAACAGGTATGTATATTATGTTAAAAAGGTAACACTTTCGGCGCCCATGAAAACTCAAGGCATGCCTCTAAATCCCAACAGCAGAAAATGCTTAAAGCATTTTGTCCTTTTCTTCTTCATGTACCATGTCCTTTCAGAACGTTGGTTACCATCATACTTAATTTTATTCACTGCCACCCTAAATATCATGCTTGTATCAACACAATATCAATCTCGCAAGTTCTTCAACCATGAGGTTCTTCTTCGTCCTGGACTGCGTTTGCCTGCTATTTTTCCTTGCATGATATTTTGTAGCAACCTATATTTGGGACCTCTCATTACATGTCCGAAATACTCCAGCGTTCTCTGCTTGATGCTTTTTATAATCTCAGTAGTCTTGCTAAGACGTTCTAGTTGTGGAGTGTCAACCCAAAGAAGAATTTAAAATTTTGTCATATAAGGCGAAAATTATTCTTCTCCTTTTTGCAACAAAATACTTATGTGGAGCAGTATTATCTGCCTATGTGGCCACTAAACAGTTATCCCAAATTCAAACGGACTTACTTCTACTTTTTCGAGTCTGGATCCGACTACAGTTTTTCTGCCCAATATCGGGCTACGTCTACAGCCTTTGTATTTGCGAGCCATAAATCATCGAGAGTGCACTGTGATGGGCAAAGTCTGGATACTCTCAGGTGCTTCGCGTTCTGTATTTCCCCACATTCACAGAGTGCCTCGCTATCTGTCTTGATGCCCCATTTAATGAGGTTCTGTTTTACAGGGGCAACACCTGTGCGCATGCGGTTGAGTGTCCGCCAGGTTCTCCAGTCCAGGTTCATTCCATTAGGTCGTTCTGGATGTAGGGGGAACATTTCGGGTGGTTCGACGCTGACATTTCTCATAAACCTTTTCCTTGATTTAAGTCGGCTGATTCCTGGCGGTTCGTCAAACCCGTATAATTGGTGCCGTTCATCGAAAGTTTGCCTGAACTTCTCCACATATTGTGAGGCACATCTACGGTCGTCTGGTGATGCGAATCCAGCTACCCGGTACAGTAGGTGTAGAGGGGTAGGCTTCATACAACCGGTAATGATTCTACATGTTTCATTTAACGCCGTGGTGACTTGTTGGGCGTGTCTAGATCTACCCCAGACGGGACAAGCATATTCCCCTGTTGAGAAATATAAGGCCTCAGCTGTTGACTTCAAGACCTGGGGGTTTGCACCCCACTTGCTCCCTACAAGTTTCCGGAGAAGGTGGTTTCTCGTAGAGACCTTTTGTCTTTTGCTCTGACAGTGGGATTTATACGTTAGTGACCGGTCTAGTATCACTCCAAGATATTTGGGCCTATCAGTATGTTTCAAGCGTTGTCCCTCCCAAGAAACATTCAGTTTTACATGCGCCAGTTGGTTGTTGAGATGGAATGCACATACTTGGGTTTTAGTAGGGTTTGGCTTTAATGAGTTTTGTTTGTAGTAAGTTGACATCATGTTTAAAGCATCTTCCATTCTGCAATGGAAAAAACTCTCAGTCTGAGGGTGCATTGGTTGGTCGTTGGTGTAGATGTTAAATAAGGACGGCGCCAGAACGCTTCCTTGAGGTAGGTCATTTTTTTGGGTTCTCCATCTACTCTTCTTTTCATTTAGCACAACGTAGAACCGTCTATTACACAACAGTGATCTAATGATAAATACCAGGTCATAGTCAAGCACAGTGTTATAGATCTTAGTTAGCAAGGTTCTGTGGTTTATCGTATCATAGGCCGCTGTGAGGTCTATCAAAGGCTACTCCTACTATCTCTTTCTTCTCAAATCCCTCCTCTATGTATTTTGTTAGGTTCAGCACTTGGCCTGTGCATGATTTACTTGGTCTAAAGCCTGCTTGTTGTGGGATTAGTGTTGCATCTAATGTTTCGTGGATGCAGTTCAAAATGAGGCGTTCATACAATTTATACAAATGGCATAGCAGGCATACCTTGTCTACCGACATGACCCATGTCGGTAGACAAGGGTCTTTGTCAGGTTTCAGAAGGGCTATTACTTTTGATTTGCGCCACAGTTTTGGAATCTGGTAGGTAGAGCGACAGATGTTAAATAGATCGAGCACCCATTGTCTCGCTTTTTGCCCGAGATGTTTTATCTGCTCTGTTAGGATTTCATCCACCCCAGGAGATTTTCCATTTTTCATATAGTCAAGTCAATACCATTTTTGAGCTCTTCGATCGTAAATGGGTTTCGTAAGAGAGTTGTTTCCTGGTCTTGAGTTCTTATAATATTTGGCGTTTTGCAACGATTGTTTGTTTTGCCATTCAGAAGCAGTTGGTGGGCTATTTGATTTGGCGTTATTGCACATAGCTCTTTCATCTCTGTGGGATCACCATTAAGTTTTTTGATCATATTCCAAGCCTGCTTACTACTGTGCGTCATATCCATTTTACTTAAAGTCTCGCTCCACCGTTGTTGTCTGGAGGCACTTAGTATTTGCTGCAGTCTCTCCCCTATTTCTGCCGTAACTTCGCTAAATGGGTCTTTACTATATTCTTCGGTGTACTTTGTCATAATGTCTTTTGCTTCATCGTTCAGACCAGATATGTAATGTTGTTGACATCCTCTGGGTATGTGTTTACATGAGATTCGTTTTATAAGTTTGATGAACGCATCATAGTTTTTGGGGATCGGAACTATATTTTCCACCTGTGTTTCCAATTCATCAGTAAATTTTTCCCAGTTCGCTTTTTTGAAATTAAACCTATGTTTGAAAGGGATTTTGGGAGCTTTTATAGCGATGTATACGGTTATTCCCACGGGCCTATTTTGCGTCTTCGGTATAGGCCTATATACCTTCCTAACGCAACGGTCCTCTAAAGATATGCTGATGAAGGTGAGATCAGGGTTGTAACCTTTTTTCATTTTTCTTCAATTCAAACGGAAACCAGGTATTACTAAGCTGTGGAAATCAAGGCAGTCTCATCCTTCACATTAAAATGATGACATTACGTTTTTCAGATTTTAGAAATAGGATATGCGTGTTTTTTATTTTTGTTTTTTATTATAATAAAATTAACTTTCTTATGTTTGCGATTGAAAACAAAATTGAATAATGTAAATGGAAAATGTAATGGTTAATATCCCCCCACCCCAACTAATAAACTAATATGTTTCGTTCCCTGTGGCACCTATATAGGTTTCAGGTGCATTATGGTAAGTGCTCCCTACATAATTTCTGTTCTAAATAGTACTCCTCGGCCAAAAAACTTTGGGAAACGCTGACATAGATAATTAAACGATTTTGCTCAATTTTGTAGATTTTAGAATAAGCCATTTTAAAGTTTTTTAATATCTACAAAATAAAACATGATAGTATCATGATAGAGATAAATATGATAGAGAAGTATTTTAACGATAAGTAGAAATTTAAAAAAAATTGAATTTTTTGTACTTAATTGTTTATCACTAAAAAACAAACACCAAATCCTCTGCAGAAAACATGTATGTTTTCTTCTTATAGGTATATTATATTAACTAAAATCTTGCTAAATACCTGGATTATCCAAAGTCTCGAGAAAAACTTACTTCCCTGAAATCATTCTAAGTATATTTAAAAACAAGTCAACAACTTCAAACTAAAACAGCACTTTCCGGTTCACAGTCACTTTGTAAACCCGAAACTGTTTCAATGTGTAAAATCAAAAATCTTCATTTCATGCATATAATTTACATTTGTACTAAATAACAGTTCGATATTCACGTTAGATGAACCAACAGAACAACCAGATTCACCAGCATTATGATGCTGTATTTGTTCCGGACCGCAAGTCCGTTTCTTACTTCTTGGACTCCTGTCACTACCGTATCATCCATATCACTAAAACGTGATGTCAGGTTTATGACTGAGACTGAACTCGTTTTGTCCGTAGGAGTAAAATGCGTCGTTGTGGATACTGTAGTGGGTAGGAGAGATATGTCCAAATAGGTGAGTTTTGGAAAAGGTAAATTATCTTTTACTACAAACGTCTTAGTTATCGGATAATAACCGGTGGCCTTAACCTGGAATATAAAAAATACGTTCAAACTTGGATAATTTTTTTTTAATTAAATTAACTAATTGCTGACCCGACGGACGTTGTCCTGTCTAAATGAATATTAAATTCGAACGTCGTTAACTGTCATTGCCATCAATCTTGAAATTCAATGTATTTTACATGGCCAGTTGTATGTTCCTGTGTCGAAAAACCATTAATATTATTTATGTGCCACAAAATAAAATTAACAATGTTGTGTATTATAAAACAGGTCAATGTCTGTCGTTTCAGCTATAGTTTAGTTTCAAAATTGTATACACTAAATTCCAGGGAATGGTGATGATTATTTTGAATTATTCTTGGTCTTTTAGTGGCATACAAACATTTTTCTATTCGAGTAAGAGGTAGTGCTACTTCTATTGAAAAATTTTTACAAATTATATGTGCTACTGTTACGTAAAAATTAGTCATACTATAAAAAACCTGTAAACATGTTGTTTAATTCTTATATGCTCTAGATTTGACCTGATGGTAGAAATTCCAGGTAAAACCTACTTGACACGATGGGTCCCCCTTCGATACAGGCCGCTATAAAAAACCAGTCTGAGTTCCAGTTCATTCGAGGCCAATCAGGTCAAAATCCATGGGTTTCTCTTTTTACTCGAGAAGGTCGTCGTCCGCTCTAGGGAACTCTGGGCTAGCGGTAGTTTATATTTAAATAGAAATTTTGTTGTAAACAGAGCAGTTAGTCAAAAAGAAGCCCGCGCTCGTGGTTTAAAATTGTATCGCACGTAGATAAATTATATACTTATTAAGTGTAAAATAAATTAGTAGGAATAAAGACTTTGATAAATTTGTGAGTGTTATAAATATTGAACCTTTAGTAAATTAAATTAAGAACAATAAATTAGAACTATAAAGACGTTATATTGGTGTTCAGAAGTGAAATTGTGAAATTGTGAAAATGGCTACAATTTATGAGCTCACAGTTACGGATTTAAGAAAACATCTTGAGGACAGATAATTAGCTTCTACCGGAAAAAAGGCTGATTTAGTCCAACGACTAAAGAACGCTTTAAAACAAGAGGGTTTGGATCCGGAAACTTATATATTTGAAGATAAACATTTTGCTGTCATCTTGTCGATTTCAAAATTAGAGAATAAAGTTTCTGACGTTATTTCGAAAGTTTCCTCTGATGTAGCCAAAGTTTCTGGTGATATCGCATCATTAGAGAACAACGTTTCTGGTGACATCGCATCATTAGAGAACAAAGTTTCCGGCGACATCGATTCTTTAGAAGACAAAGTTTTTAACGAGATTTCTTCTCTAGAAAGCAAAGTTTCTGCTAACATCTCCTTGGAAATCTCTAAAGTCACTTCTGAGATGTCTGCTCTCGACGATAGAGTGTCTTCGTTAACAAACCAAGTTGATGCCGATATGTTGGCCTTCGAAGAAAAGATATGGAAGGAGACGGAAAGGAAGATTGAGGGAACAGGAACAGCAGAGAGAGTAAACAATCCAATTACCGTAGAAACAAAAGAAGACGGGGCGAAATGTAAGTTGGAAACACGGCCAAAATTTGAAGGAAGTGGAAGTTCTGTTCATATCAAAGTCCCAACTTTCGATGGAAAATCGTCATGGAACAACTATATGAAACAGTTCGAATCAGCTGCAAGAGCGAATGGATGGTCTGAGAAAGAAAAGGCTGTAAACCTGACTGTCGCTCTTCGAGGAGATGCCTTAGATGTGCTTCAGACCATAGCCGTGGAGGAGACGGAATATTTTGAACAACTTAAGAAGAGGTTAAATATGCGATACGGCCACGAACACTTAGAGCATGTATATCAGTCGCAGCTTAAAAATCGAAGACAAAAGAAAAATGAGGCTCTTCAAGAATATGAGGTAATATTGCCAGATTAGTACTATATGCTTATCCCACAGCTCCCCAAGACATGATGGAAAAGTTGGCCGTTCAAACGTTTATTGATGGTCTTCGTGATCATGAAATGCAGATAACACTGCGATTAGCTCGCCACCCTCGAATACGAGTCAGCTACGCAGGCCTCTGGCGGGTACAGTAAAGTTAGGACGGTAAAAGAGGAAGGAGATGAAGATAAACTTGACCAGCTCGTTTATATGATAAAAAGCATGACATACAAGAAACCGAAGACCATAAGATGCTGGAATTGTGGCGAAATAGGACACATACGAAGTTCCTGTAAGCACCCTAGGTACGACGCAAATGAAGAAACTCACCATCAGGAAAACTAAAACGGGTGGGTCGGCCTTAGGGGGGCAGCTTCGACCCAAAACTTTTCCAGGGAGATTCCCTGAGTCCTCTATTGTTCAACTTGATTATGGATGAAATATTAAAAAAAGTAAGAACAAAAAAAAACCAAATGAAAGAAAAACGACAACTTACAGGGGGCACATTGAAAAATAGACATAATCATGTCTACATAAAAAGAAGAAGTAGAAGAAGATTATATGAACTAATATTAGACAAGAAGAGAGGGGGGACAGGTAACGCTCATTTATTAAATCTTCGCAAAGTGGGTATAGTTTCAATGTGACCGCTATATTTTGGTGCCTGTACGTTGCCCATTACTATCTACGTCATGTCGTTAAAACTCATTTTTAATTATCATTTCTTAAAATTTAGTGCCCAGAATATTGAAACTTTACTATAGTAGAGAGCTTTCCAAAGAGTGCGGCGCGGCTTTGGCCCAAGCCTCCTCGCATTTCCCATTGCCCGGTTGTTCATCTGTTTGATATTGACTATGGATATTATTTAAAAAAATAGAAAACAAAGTGAAGACGTATATGAGAGCCGTGATGTAACTTAAGGTAAACGGAAGAAATATAGGAAATATGACGACTAATATTTGATTTTCAGATTTACCAATATGTTGGCACACAAAGATGCTTACTAATAAACTAAAACAGCATTTGTAATTTACAGTCGTTTACAGGATAAGCCAAGAGAATTGTTTGTAAGAAAATTGCAAAAATTTAAACATCAATCCATGGCTTTGGTTGCAAGAGCATCAGTACATACCAAAGCATTGCTCGTTTCTTATATGCTAGCTTAACGTGTTACCAAATGTAATTAACTACACATGATTGCTTATCTGTAGCGGTTGATATGGTATCAATGATTATTAGAGAATCGGCAGCTAAAGAAATAAAAAATGTTCCTCTTTCAAATAATATGATTAGTCGCCGTAATCATGACATAGCAGAAGATACTAATGAACAAATTGTTGGGAAACTTTTAGGTTTATTTGTCGTCCAACTAGATGAGACGACGGATAGTAATGACTAGACTTAGGCAAATATGCAAATTGCATATTTTGCATATAATGCATAAAAAATGCAAAAATTTCAAATTTTGCATATTTTTATAAAAGTGCGCATAAAGTGCATATAATTTGAAAATTTGGTGTTAACTATATATTTTTATATTGAAACTTATAGATAGCATGAAAATGCCAATAATAATGTTTTATAATCACTTGGTATTCAAATTCTTGGTATAGTAAGTAATAAAAGACAGCGGCTTAGTTTGTTCACGTTTTGTTCTGGAATTAAGGGTTTGTGTAAACCAGTTTATGTCTCTAGGTAAAAATTTTTATTTTGACGGTCAGTTTCACTTAGTTTCAGTTTTGTTGAAAATTGGAGGCGTAAACAACGTGTATTTCTAATTGTGAATAGTTATTATGCTTTGAAAATGCCGAAAATAAGCAATGTTTCAACTTGGATAAAAGCTTACAAAGAGCTATCTATGGATATGGAGAAAGATTTTTCGCTCATGTTGTGGCAAAACCGTAAGTACATGCGTATTATTTTTTATTTTATTTAAAAAATTGACACAGTGGTGCAAAGATTTTAAAATTGGAGATTATGTTTAAGAAAAGTACTGACACAAGGCTAGTTCGCAATAAATCGATGATATTTTTCTTTTTTCAAGCATTTTTTAAACTCCTTGCAATAAAAAATAGGATACCTATTTAAAATTCAAATCATTTAATAGTCTACTAAAAGTTCGCTAACATTTTTTTTTTCTAACAATAGCATAGTTTGCGTCAATTTTGTTAAAAACAAAAACATATCATATATTGGACTTAATTAATTAAGTGCTTTTAATTTATGCTCACAGTATTTTTGCTTTAAATGTACACAGAAAAGACCAACAGCCTCTTGTAAATATTTGGGGGTTCTTCCTTCTTGCACAGTCATTTCTTGACATTTTCAAGATTACCACACGGATTTTTATTTGATTCAATTTAATTATTTTAATTGTTATGTAAAAACGGTTCATTTTTAGTTTATTTCTACAATATTAGATTTTAAAAATGGGTGCAACTATAGAATATTTATATTCTTTTTTAGATTTTATCTGAAAAAAAAATTCAAATAGATCAGTATGTCAGAACCGTGAAACATTTAGCTAAAAAAGTAAAAACCATATCCGGTGAAAAATATCAACCTTCAGTGTCCGAGTGCTTTCAAAGAAGTTCCAAAAAACAAACGAACAAGAAACTTTTAACGAAGACTTGTGTCGTGCATTAGTATCTTCTAATATACCGCTTTCAAAATTATCTAATGAAAACTTTATTTCTTCTTTAAAAAAATATTGCAAACAAAACATTCCCAATTAACGAACTCTAAAGAGAAATAATGTCAATTTGTTATCATCATCATCATCATCATCTTGGTGCTACAGCCGTTACAGGGCCTCGGCGTTCTCAAGCTTTCTACGCCATTCTGTTCTGTCCCTTGCTTGCATTTTCCAGTTGCCGACTCCGTTCTTCTCCGCATCTTGTACTACCCCATACATCCACCTCAGCTTTGGTCTACCCCGTCTTCTCCTCCCCACGGGTTGCGCTGTTAGAATCTTTTTTATCATGTTTGGTTCAGGGGCCCGGGCTACATGTCCTGCCTACTGCAGGCGGTTTCGCTTAATTATAGTGGTACAGTGTAGTCCGTTTAGTACGACTTCGCATATAACAACTAACCGCTTT